AGAACTGCCCCACAGAGTTTCGTAGACTGTCATCTTTATGGAAGCAGATTGCAAGCTTTTCTCCCTTGAAGCTAGCAGTTCCCTCCACGTGTTGGAACTTGATTCAACAGCAATTAACAATGTGTTATTGGTGGTGGAGGTGGTGGTGGTGTGCCGTGGAGTTGGTTCTAACGCATAGCAACCCTATGTAGGGTTCCCAAGGCTGTGAGTCTTTATGAAAACAGGAAGTCTCATCTTTCTCCCGTAGACTGGCTGGTAGATTCTGACTCCTGACCTTGTAGTTAGCAGCCCAATCCCTAACCACTAAAACAGCATACCTCCTTAATAACAATAAGTTCTTGTTAACTGCTGTCAAGTCAGAGCCAACTCATAGTGAACCTGTATAGGGTTTCCAAGGAGTGACTGGTGGGTTTGAACCACCGGTCTTGCAGTTCAAACCGACCTTGAGATCCAGTGCTTTATCTCACAGAGCCCAAAGTACCCTCAAATCGGTTCTGACCCACAGTGACCCAGTATAAGGTGGTTAAAAAAGAGCAGCCAGTGGGTTTGAACCACTGACCTTGTGGTTATCATTCCAGGGCTTATCCTACACCACACCAGGACTGCTGTTCACTTTACAGAACCGTCTATTGTTTGGCTGAAATTTGAGCCACGGGAACAGCATCTGCCACGTGGACCGCCCAGTCCTGAGTCGGTGGTACAAGGCAACGCTCACCAAGTCGGCCTCCTGTCTTTCAGTTCACTGCCTACTGTTGCCGACTTCCCAGTGTCTTAAAAACCTTTATTTGCACATTTTGTCCTGTTGGGGGATTGTTTCATGTGGGAGGGTAAATTCAGTCCCTGATAGCTTCTGATGATGTAAATAAGTTGTTTCAAAACCATGCTGGGATGTGAATGCCTCCCATACCTGATTAATGTATCATCATCCACAATGACTAGCCACGGGGATTTGGCATGGCTATGATTCAAAAACCGTTCCAAAATGGCAAATGTCTTCCCACAGTGACCTGAGAAAGACAAGAAGAAAGCTTATGTTGCCTTATTTTCCATACAAAGTACATAATTCATTTTGAAATACATTTTTCTGTTTAGTTTTCTATTACACGGGCTGCAATGCCAACAGGCACTTTAATAATGTGAAGCGTAACAAACAAAAAATGGGCCTTTTCCAGTCACAGATACAGACCCCAGGGACTGTCAGGAATTGAAGGACGTGAAGTTAGTGCCATCTTTTCCTGCAGGAGGAAATGGTGACTTGGAGCGATCAGGAGATTTAAGCAGGATCATATGGCTAAGGTGAAGCGGAGACCAGAACCCATGGCCACCGAGTCAATTCCATTCAAGAGGGCCCTGAGGGACACAGTAGAACTGACCCAGATTGTCTCTGAGGCTGTAAATCTCTACAGGAGCAGACAGCCTCATCTTCCTCCTGAGGGACGACCGATGAATTTGAACTACTGACCCTGTGATTAGCATCCCAATGCTGAACCCACTGCACCACCAGGGCTCCTTTTGGAATACCGTGGGATGTACAAACGGGCATTTGGAGAGCTGGCGTGGTGCCACAGGGTAAGCATTGGATCTCAAGTTTGGTTGAACCAGCAGGTTAGCAGTTCAAACTGACCACCCGCTCCTTGGAACCTCTACACAGGGTCGCTGTGAGTCGAAACCGACTCAACAGCACTTTAACAACAAGAGTCAGTTGAAAAATAAAGAAAACACGAGTAAACAAATGATTGGTGCAGTCTAAGATGCAGAGTAAAAACAACAAATAAAGGAAAGAACATTCTGTCTGAAGGACTTTTTCCCCAACAGCACCGAGCAAGCTCAACAATACGGTTAACCGAGTCAGAAGAAAGGTGAACAAGGTGAGTGGTCTGAGGCCCCAGGGCGCTTCATTAATCAGTGCCGTCCAATAACCAAGGTCAAGGTGTGCTACGGTTACCTGTTACCCATCAGAGGATATGGGGAACCAGAAAATAACAGGGGACAATATGATGGGAATGCTGGATCAGAAAGAAAACAAACCAAGGGCATGTGAGCTCGAAGTGGCCAGACTTCTACTGCGGTGGTTGGAAAGCAACACCCTGGCGAGAACAGCAGTAAACGTCCAGTCATTTCCAAATTACAACATGAACTCATGTGTCCGAAACGCCTGTCGTAAAGCTCACTGTAAGTATTGCTGGTGTCGGGATGGTTGGGGGGTTCTGTATACTGTACCCTGCAGGGGGACAGAAACTGCTGGGCTCTCCTCTAACTCCGCAACACCTAGTGTGGGTGCGATACCGCAAATCCAAACCAAAGGTGTGGCGGACGGGGGACATTTATCCAAGGGCAAAGTGCAGAGGGCTAGGAAGGGAGGGGCCATGGAAATGGGAAACACAGGGAACGAATGCATGAGTGATGTTCCACGGTGGGAGTTGAAACCAATGACATGAAACAAAATGTGCATGAATTGTTGAATGGAAGGCTGATGAGCCTCTTTGTAAACCTTCACTCAATTCCCAATATAAAGTTAAAATAACAAGACAACAAAAATCAGATCCATTGCCACTGAGAGATTCCAACTCATAGTGAACCGACTCAGGGCTTCTGAGCTGCAAATCTTTATGGAAACAGCCAGCCTCTTTTTTCTCCTAAGAAGTGGCTGGTGGGTTTGAACCTCCAACCTTCCAATTAACAGCCCAACATTGTAAAGACTGGGCCACTGTGGACGCTTAGATATACACAGCATCCGGCTAATACAGGCAGGCTGGGAAGGATACATTGAAAACAGCAGTCTCTACATTTGATGGGTTTGGTGATAAATGAAGTAGATCTAGAAAAGGGATGACCTCACTCTATTGTAACTGCCATGTGCTCAAACATTAATCTGAACAAAACAAACCCAGAGTGCGCACTTCATAGTGGTTACGAATCGGGCTGCGAACCATAAGGTCAGCAGTTCGAAACCACCAGCTGTTCCACGGGAGAAAGATGAGGCTTTCTGCTCCTGTAAAGATTTACAGCCTCAGAAATCCTGTACAGGGTCGCTATGAGTCGAAACCGACTCCTCGGCACATAACCACCACCACCATCACCAGCATGAAAGAAGCTATATGTACACACGGGCATAAACAGTGCTTGGGGAGGAAGGAAACACGCCTACACAAGGCAAAGAGAGCAGTTTCTAGGAACTATTTCAACAGGTGGCAGAGTGGTGCAGACCTCAGTGGCCAACAGAAAAATTGATGGTTCAGATCCACCTGGAAGCTCACTGGGAGGAATCTCTGGCAGTCGGTTTCTGTAAATGTGACAGCCTAGGAAATCCTCTGGGGCAGTTCTACTCTGTCACATGGGGGCGCTGTGAATCGATTATAGATGAGTATACACGAGTATATTGTGACACAATAGATGACAGGCTAGGAAACCCTGTGGGGCAGTTCCACTCTGTTACACCAGGGGGCGCTGTGAGTGGATGAGCTATAAGATTATATATGAGCATATAATGACACAATAGATGATAGTCCTGGAAACCCTCTGGGGCAGTTCTACTCTGTCACACGGGGGCATTGTGAGTAGATGATATATAAGAGTATATACGAGTATATAGTGACACAATAGATGACAGCCTAGGAAACCCTGTGGGGCAGTTCTCCTCTGTTACACCAGGGGGCGCTGTGAGTGGATGATCTATAAGAGTATATACGAGTATATAGTGACACAATAGATGACAGCCTAGAGTACATATGAGTATATGGTATGGAGTCCTGGTGTGGCGCTGTAGGATAAGCACTGGACTGCAGGATCATTTGAATCCCAAGGTCAGCAGTTCAGACTCAACAGCTATTCCTCGGAAGCACTATATAGGGTTGCTATGAGTCAGATCTGACTTACCAACAACAATACAAACACACAGTGGCACAACAGATGATAGTCTTGGTAAACCCTTTGTTACCTGGGGCCGCTTTCAGTTGGAAGGATTTGCTTTTCCATTCATTTCTAAATATTCATGCAATTCTTCATCTCCTCTGTCCTCAACCGTCATTCCCACTAAGTGTATGGAGTATTTAGTGCCGTGCAGTTGTGTGACCCCACTCTGTGGCGAGTTTTCCCTTGCTGCACTGAGTGAGGGCCACTCTGGTTGCCTCCCTCCCGCCTTTGGCGATGGATAAGAATCCTGTAGTGCACACCTACGCACATTTGTCTTAGGGTGTCATGTTGGGTGCCATCAAGTCAATTCCAACTCACAGCAACCCCCAGAGGACAGAGCAGAACTGACCCATCATGTTTCCTATGGAAAGAGCCCTGGTGGTGCGGTGATTAAGCACTCGGCTGCTGGTCAAATGGTCACTGGTTTGAACCCACCAACCGCTCCACAGGAGGACGATGAAGCTGTAGGCTCCCTGAAAGGTTTACAGTCTCGGAGACTCCATGGGGGCAGTTCTACTTTGTCCCTTAGGGTCGCTATGAAAGAAAATCAACCAAGGGCAGCGGGTCTTTGCTGTTTTTTTTAATAATGTTTCATTCTCCTTGTTGTTAAGTGCCATCGAGTTGGTTCCAACTCATAGAGACCCTGCAGAAGGTTTCTGAGGAGCGGCTGGTGGGTTTGAACCACCACCTTGCAGTTCAAATTACCTTTGTGGTCATACATTATCCCACAACCGCATACCAGGGCTCATTCTTACCCTAACTGAACTATCTTTAGCGAATAGGAATTTGGACCAGGGGGAATCGAAGACATGAGCACTCACCACGATCCGTGTTGGGAATCCCCAAATCTACCGTCGGAATGGCCCTGTCCTCGGAGTCGCTGTAATATTCAATGATCCCGGCCTCTCCTTCCCAAGTCCGCTTGACCACCGGTACTGCAAGAGCCCCAAAAATACAATTATGAGCCACACACAGCTCGGTGGGGACCCTGCAATCAAACTCTTCATGGAGAGAGAGAGCCTGGACTTCATCCTGCGTTCTTCCTCAGGCCTGAAAAATGCCCAGACTGTTTGCTCATGTTGATGACACCTGGCTTTAGCACCTTTCTCCTGGCTGCTGACAGACAGGCGTCCTTTTGCATATAGGCAGATGTTTGAGTCTGATGATACAGCTGTGCTGAATTTAAATGGACTTCAATCAGTGTTTCTCTTTTCTAAAAAGGCTATTTCATTTAAAATTCACAACCAAAACTCAAATCCAAAAAAGCCATCAACTCATCATTGTAGAGTGGATTCTGACTCACAGCGACCCTACAGAACAGTATAGGACGGCTCCTTAGGGTTTCCGAGACTGTCCATCTTTACAGACAGCCTCATCTTTTTCCCCAAAAAAATCACAATGGGATTTAAAGATTTATGCTAACTGGAAGTGGGGGAAAGTGGAGAGAAGGAAGCCATATAAGGATATAATAACTTCTAAATATTTTTACTGGAATTTTTTCTACTTCTTTTCTAAAATGTTTATTTTGTTGCTGTTGTTGAGAATAGTCACAGCAAAACCACATACCAATTTAATCATCTCTACCCAGACACTTCAGTGGTACTGCCAGGTGTGCCCCCTTCTTACCTTGTGTGAGCTGTTACACACACACACACACACACACACACACACACACACACATTCTAACAGGAAGCCCCCTATGTTTCAGAACAAACAAAACCTAACTTGGAAGAAGTACAGCCAGAATGTTTCTTAAAAGTGAGGATGTTAGGGGGGAAGTGTAGGGGGCGGGTTTCTGGGATATACCTTTTGGGTGGTTGATGATGCATGGAGGGGATTGGAATCATGGCAGTGAGATGATATACGATGAAATGAATGTAAAACTAAAGTTCTCCCATGTAAACTATCATATAATTCACAATAAAACATTAAAAAAAAAAGTGAGGATGTTAGGACTTAGTCTTTCGTACTTTGGACATGTTATCAGGAGGGACCAGTCCCTGGGGAAGAACATCATGCTTGGTAAAGTGGAGGGTCAGCAAAAAAGAGGAAGACCCCAATGAGATGATCTGACGCAGTGGCAGCAGCAATGGGCTCAAACAAAGAACCACCATAGGATGGTGTTGGACTGGGCGGTGTTTTGTGCTGTGTGTAAGTTCTGTTGTACATACAGACAACAACGCTGCACAACAAGTTTCCTAGCCAATCTTTCGAGTTGCTACTGTCACTTTGACCCCACGTAGATCTTAAAAGAGCAAGGCAGGCATTTGTTACCAGTAAAAGTACCTATTGTTGGGTTTTAAGAAGATGTCAGGAAATATTTTTTGGTTTAAAGAGTATCTAAAGGAAATAATTGGGGGGGGGGGTGAGTGGTTTCCAGCCTCCATGACTCCAGAAAGCCTGGAGTCCAAGTGTATTGGAAATTCTGTGTAGCATTTTCCCCCTTTTGATCAGGATTCATCTACAGAATCTTTGATCAAAGCGTTCAGTCAGGGTAACCAGACACCATTCAGTTCTTCTGGTCTCATGACTAAGGAGGCAGTGGTTGGAGGAGGCCATCAGTCACACATTCCATCCCCTCCTCCTGACTTTCCTTCCTCTGTAGCTCCAGGTGAAAGCTATACCTTGGATGGCCACTTGCTTTAAGACCTCAGGAACTCCACAATGAACTAGTAGGTAGAACCAAAGCACGAAACACATTACTAGGCCAATTAACTGGGATATCCCATGACCCTTAACCTCCAAACCAAGGGACCAAATCCCATGAAGTGTTTGGTTGATCAACAGCAGGGATGCAATATTTGTGCATGGCTCTGGCTGAGAAGCAAATTTGGCTCTCTAACAATGGAGATGGCAGGGGACCACTTCAAACTCTGCCTGTCCCCACTGCGCCACCAAGACTACTTCAGCAATAGACCAGAAGAGAAGAAAAACCTTCAGTTTGTTCTACCAAATCCTAGCACAACAGAAATCTTGGTTCCGGAAATACTAGGTAGTAACCTGCTTTGTAGGTAGTAACCAGAGGCCTTACCCCTGCACCCTGCAACCTCTCGCTAGGGTGACGTGTCCGTGCAGCACGCCGCGAGACATGGTAAGTCAGCCTCCAGCCCTCAGACTGCAGCTGCGCCCACGCCATGTCCCCTTTCCACAGGCTGCAGCCTGGACTGCCTTTAGGCTCCTGAGGCTCCAACAGTTTCATTCAGCAGTACAGCTGCTTCCTCTCAATTAGCTGCTCTAAGTGCAATTAAGAGCAGAATCAGATGAGCCATCCCCGGCTGCAATACTGAACAAAGGAGCCCTGGGGGTACAATGATTAAATGCTCAGCTGCAGCTCGAAAGGTCAGCAGTTCCAATCCACCCAGCAGCTCTAAGGGAGAACGATGAGGCAATGTGCTTCTATAAAGATTTGCCGCCTGAGAGTCTAGGGGGCAGTTCCACTCTATCCCAGGGGGTCACTATGAGTCGGGATCGACTCCAAGGGAATAGAAATTGTTTTGCTTTTCTTACTCTGTCTGCCTAACTACTTGCTTAAAACCCTGGTGTGGCGCAGCAGGATAATGCACCGGATCGCAAGGTTGGTTTGAACCGCAAGGTTGACAGTTCAAACCCACATGCTGTTCCTCAGAAACCCTTTACAGGGTCGCTATGAACGACTCAATGTCAGTGGGTTTAGGTTTTGTATAATGACTGTATATATTTAATAGGACTTGGAATTTAACTTGACTATTTTTTATTATAGCAATCCAAAATATGCAGTGTCTAAGCCAGCTGGGCTCCAATTGGTGGTCGGAACCTGCCAGTCACACTACAAAGATGAAGCGGTTCGGTCTACTTCTGTGAAGATTTACCGTCTTGGAAAACCTGTGGGGTACTTCTACTCTGCCCTGGAGGATCGCTAAGAGTTGGAATCGGCTCCACGGATTTGTTGTTAAGTACCATTGAGTCAGTTCTGACTCATAGTACCCCTGTATGGGGTTTCCAAGAAGTGACTGGTGGGTGTGAACCACCAATGCTGTGTATGGGCAATAAGAATGCTTACAGTCAGTGTACTTTTTAAAACATGTTTTGACTGTTTTATTTGATGCCAATCTCTTAAACAACACTATAACCCAAATTTATAATCCTGTTTTATTTGGAAGATATGCTCCCCTTTGACTTATAATTCTCAACAATCATATTATCACATAAAATACATTAAGGAACTTTCCCCAAAACTCCAGCCCTACAGAAATGGCAGCTGGTTTAAAAAGATCTCCTACATAAATATCACAGATTCAGTGAACTTGAGAGTCTTTTCATGGAAAAAAATTAGAACACATGCCAAAATTAGAAACGCAAAACCCAAACACCAAGCCCACAGCTAGCTGTCACATGTACTCCGCCTCACAATGACCCTATAGGACAGAGGAGAACGGCCCTGCAGGGTCTCGGAGGCTGTCATGTTTATGGGAGCAAAGTGCCACCTCTTATTCCTGTGGAAGAGCCGCTGGCTTCAAACTGCCGACCTTTCTGATTGCAGCCAAGTGCTTAAGCACCACACCACGCTCAAGACTGCCTCATTTTCAGTCTCAGAAAAGTGCTGTCTGAAAGAAGGTGATAAAAGAGAGGAACTGTGCCTGTTAATATTTAGAACCTACCTCTTTTTTACACAACCACTATTGCTTAGCACAACTCTGCAAAGACACTAAGAATGTGAATTAAAATAACACGTATTCAGAGGCAAGGATTCCCCCAAACAGGTACCAGCCTTCTTCCTTTTCTGAAATTACTACCTGTTGTTCTTGGGAGCCTTTGATCAGTTCTGACTCATAGTGACCCTGTAGGTTACAGAAGATCTGCTCCTTGGGGTTTCCAAGATGATAAATCTTTACAGAACCAGGCAACCATGGAGCAGCAGGTGGGTTCGAACCACCAATCTTTGGATTAGTAGCCAAGCACTTTGCCACTGTGCCACCAGTGCCCCTTCCAATGAGCAACCACATACCTACTCATGAGCAAACACATACCTTAGAAAATAAATAAAACCATTCTAGCATTACAATAAACATCAATAGAACAATCTTAGAGAGAACTTTCTCTCATGGCAGTCTCTAACCATGAAACCCTCTGGAAGATTCTTTATGCATTTCAGAGACTATGACAGGCCAGGGACAGGCAATTATAACAGGACATTGTATTACCAAGTGGTTGTTATTCACAATATTGTCTCAGGGGTTTCCATTCTGTCTCCAATTTAAACCACTTTTCTAAGCAGTATTTAAAAGGGCTGCGAATATGGAAGATAGAAGAATTGATGCCTCTGAATGTAGGGTTGGCAGAGATTATTGAATATACTACCAGGAGAACGCACAAATCTGTCCTGAAAGAAGTATGGTCAGAATGAACGTGAGGTCAGAAGGGGCCAGGCCTTGGAGAAGGACATCATGCTTCATAAAACATAAGGTCAGTGAAAAAGAGAAAGACCTTCAAGGAGATGGACTGACGAAGTGGCTGCCACAGAGCTGAAACGATCATGAGGGCTGTACGAGCAGGCAGCGCTGGGTTCTGTTAAACATATGGCCACTACGCGTCATAACTGACTAGATGGCACCTAACAACCACAACATAAGCTCGCATGCTTTGATACAAAAATGTCCTTCCTAACTGACCTTGGTAGTGTAGTGGTTACGAATCGGGATGCTACTCTCAGGGTCAGCAGTTGGAAACTACCAGCTGTCCACTGGAGAAAGATGAGGCTTTCTACTCCTGTAAAGATTTACAGCCTCGGAAACCCTGTACAAGGTTGCTATGAATCGGAACCAACTCCACGGCACACAACCACCACCACCAACTGACCTTGAAGTCAGACGTGGTTCTATGAGTCACACAGATTAAATTACTGCTTTCCATCAACATTGCATCTGTCATTATTGCTTTCTCGAGTTTATACCTAGTTTGGACTTTTCGGTTGTTAGTAACAGCAGCCTGGAATTTAAGAGCTCGATAAAAATAAATAACTTAACACATACTTCTGTCACCATGAAATTTCTTGCATGTTTTGACTGCAACAAAGATATCTTCCTTCTTCACTGGATTTCCCTACAAAAAAAAAAAAAGTAAAAATAATAAGCACATATGATTCAGCATCATCTTAAATTCACATCCACGTTATATGTCAAATGCTCTATCCACTGCCATGGAGTCGACTCTGTGTCATTTGGCCCCGTGTAACAGAGGAGAACTGCCCCAGAGGGTTTCCTAGACTGTCATCTATTGTATCACTATACACTC